AAACAAAATTAAATAAAATGAAATCTTCTAATTGCTATGAATAATAAATATACACATACTGGTTATCATTATAAAAATTAAAGTTAGCTTCTTGTAAAGATGATAAAGGTAAGCTCATATAATTTAAAATGTTATCTATTCGAAATAAAAGAATGAAAATTTTCTATTAAAATAAAGCTTTGAATCAAATAACACAAAAGCTAACTCTACAATCTAAAATTTTAAATGCTAGAAAATATTGGATTTCGACATCCAAAACTAATAATTTAGCCAAAATGAAATAATAAAAATGCCTACAGGACTTATAGGAATACGGCATAACAGTAGTTTAAAAGCTCGTCCCTCACGATAATAATTGAAAGCAACATATTCTTGATCGGATAATCAAAAATTCGCCTATGTAGTACGTACCATCGCGAAATAACGTGCAGAGGTTTAATTTCGAATTTTGGCTTAATTTAGACTATTATTCAAAATAACGCACCTAGGCATTATTTCACGCTTATACGGTACGTGTTTTACTGCGGAAATTCCGTGAGTCACAATTTTTATGATTTACGTAATTTATATTTAGTGTTGGCGTCTATTCAACGCCTCATAATCTTCATGCACGCATAATTTTGTGCTTTCCTTTTTATGTTAATTCTGCATACAAGCCACAGATCCAAAAATAACGCATTAAATAATACAGTATATAAATGCGTAATTACTGTGCACTTGGTCATAACCGATCATCAACTGCGTATTCAACTGCGTACTGATCTTTGAAACAGATAAATAGTTCCAACTAGAGTATTAAAATTCTTGATCTAATATTAATTAATAACGATAACATTAATTTCAAATTATTTACAATATATCTTGAAAAAGAGAAATGGAAGCTAAAAAACTATTGGTAAGCTGATACTAATTTTTATTGAATTAAAGAAGAAAACATTCGTTAGTCTTATTAATTTATATATTCGTGTTCTTAATTTTTTAATCATTCACCTTTTTTTACGGTTTTTTAATTGTTATTAGTTAGTCGGCCTTGGTAATTATTCACATCCACAAACTAGACATAGCATAGGAATGTTGGCATTAGATTACATAGCATCACACCTAAACTTGACATGGACAAAAAATAAAAATTGGTCTGCTACCGTTACTACTACGACAACCATATACGTTGATCCTCCTAAACGACCTAAAATAAAACAAAAAAATGAAGCTGGTACTAACATGAAGAAACAAGATAAAAACATTATAAGTCCTAATGATGAATGTGTTTTGAAGAACGGGATCCAAAAGATCTTTGATGATAATGTTCGATCAGAAGAAAATAATAATGTAAGTGTAGATTTAAGTGTAATATTTCAAGGCTAATGATTGATGATGATTTAGATAACGATGATCATGATTTATCTTCAAAAAGTTCCTCATTTCAATATGATCTGTATCATCATCAAGAGTTTCGCTGAAACTATCAAAAAAAAAAAAATTGTTGAATCATTTAGATCCAGACCTAAGGACGCTTGCTGAAAATCTTTTGGTGTATTCCGAAAATGCCTTCGATAAAATCGTAATTTGAAAGGCGCAACTGAAATGCTTTCGGTAAGCGTCCAAAGGTCAAACTGTGCGAGATCGAAAATGCTTTCGAAAGTCAAATGTTTTCAGTGAATTTCTGAAAGCCAACCGAAAGTAAAGAGTATATAGTAAAGTAGTACGGTACGAAACGCAAATTAGGACGAAAATGTGGAAATCATGATTGTACGGGTGGTTTAGAAAAGAAAATTCTTCAAACAAATGCTGTTATTCTTATAATTTGTCTTTACCCTAATACGAAGGAAAGACTACTCGCATTTACTCTAACCCTAAACATTAATAAAGGGTTACTTATAATTTCGAACGTCCGTCCGAATCTGCACTGTCGTACACTACTATTTTACTAATACCTGAAAGGGATGAAAATTGAATCTAAAAATGCCAAAAGCGTATAACCATGAAACTTACAGTTGTTTTCATAAATCTTCAAACAACTAATCTACGTAATCCAAATTTATAAATTTATCAATGTCAACTCGCTTCGATTATCAGATGTTCTATTATGTACTTTTTCAATTTTGAACATTTATTAGTCATAAAAATTTTTTTTTTTTTTTAGATAAATTTCAGTGACAGTAAAAGCCCATATTTACATTTATATAGGTAGCATCATTTTTAGATAGCTTTAGGAGTACGCTTTAGACTTTTGGTAATATTTTTGACTTTTCGATAGCACTTTCGAATTTCGAACTTTTTGGTAAAAACAAATCTCATTCGAAAACATTTCTATAGACTTCCGATGTCAGTAAATCCGAAAGTACCCACTCTCAGCAGACAACTTTACCTAAGCCTAGATATAGGCCAAAACCTGATCCAGTACCTTTGGAGATAACATTGATGAAACCATTGTTACTGATGAATGTTAGTGGGAAATCAGTTTACAAAGCGAGTATGTTATATATGCTACAAGTATTTTTTTTTTTTTTTAAATAATTACATTTATTTAAAGATACTTTTTTTTTTTAATCATTACACGTTTTAATCGAACCATAGTTAGAGAATTAAAATTGTCACCAGCTGACATTATTGTAGTGCATGATGATATGCAACGCGAATTAGGTAAAATTAGTTTGAAAGAGGGTGGAAGTGCAAAGTAAGTAATTATTGCAATGTAATAATGATCGAGATCATTATTTATTTATTGTTAACGTTTTAAATTTTCTAGTGGTCATAATGGAATTAAATCGGTAATTGATGCATTGAAAACCAATGTGAGTACTTTAATTGAATTTAATTATTTCCTAGTGTCTTATTTACTTTTTTGTTATTAACATTAATCTACTCTCATCTTAGCAATTTCGTCGAATGAGGATTGGTATTGGTAGACCGCCAAAAGAGATTGATGATAGATCTCATGATGTTATTTCTAGTTACGTACTGGCACGAATAACTAATAGTGAGATGGAATTTTATACAAAAGAAGTATTTCCAAAATGTAAAGAACAATTACTTAAAATTTAGATAGATTTCGAAAGCTCTTAAACTCTTTAATTACTAGATTTTGATAGAATTTCTAAATTAATAAAAAAAAAAGTCTAATGTTCAATTTTCACAACATATTATTATAATTTGTTTTTTTTTTTTTTCGTATCGACGCGTCCTACAAAAATATCGATCATTTTATCAATTATTAATATCCTAAATGTAATCAATGCTTGAGTAGAATATTTCGTGCACCATGAGATCCCGATCGATCTTAAGTTGACATGAGTTACATTTGTAAATTTTTCAGATGGTAAATTGTTCCATATATTTGCTGATAAAAATTCTATCCGGGTACAATATCTAGTAAATTTTAGTGCCACATAATTCCTTCTCGTTACCACACCCAGTACATGTTATAGATATATAGTCTTCGTCGCGTATTATTAAAAAATCAACATTAACCTTATGTTTCAAGAACGTTTGAAATCTATACTATCTTCATGTTAGATTACTTTCATTTTGAAATTGATTTTCTTTTTCCTTCTCCACCATCTCTTGGCCTTCGAATTTGGGAAGAATAATTATCATATAAATATTTATGATGACATTCGTTCATCAGATTTTATACTTTGTTTATGATTCTTCGCATAGGTCTTATTAATCTAAACCTTTCTACTTATCATTTATGGGCCTTTCGCACAGTGATAACGCACTCTGCAATTTCTTGCATTTCTTGATGTTTTCGGAACTATTGAAATCCTATTCGAATACTTCATTTTCTGGATCATTAATGTACGTATGCCAGGGTTTAGCGATACGATCTTTTCCTTCTTGGTTTCACTCTTTCTAGTGGGATAAAAATTTTTTTTTATAATTTTAAATTCATTATTTATTTGAGCAAAGTTTTTATTATTTTTAAGAAACCATCACTTATATGTCTATATCAATCTCTTGCATCCTTGATTTTGTTGTCAAAGTGCTTCGCAAGGATCTAAATTGTTTTAAAAGCTAAACCTTCATTATAGTATTATTATTGTTTGATTCTTTTCTTTTTACGGAATTTGAGCTATGATTTTTTCTTTTTTTTGATTTTTCTTATCCACTTTGAACGCGTTATAAAGATCCTGTATAGCCATATCTCTTATCACATATGGAGCTTCTGTAATATAGTATAACTTGATGTTGAGGTGATCCTTATTGTTTGCTACTTTTTCTCTCGGCAATGATTTTATTAACCAAAATATTTTCGGACCTTTCATGAATTCTAAACATCAATTATACGTCTAATGAGCAGTACCCATCCACTTTAACAAAAGATTTTTGTTCAAAAACATTCTTATTCTCTTTTGTTTTTCAAAGTTCACGTTGAACCATTAGGTAGAAACAATGTCAGTGTTCAGAGTAGAGTGAATTGCATGTCTCTAATATATCAAAGTTATTTGAATAGGCATCCATAGATTTTGGAAATGACGCGTTTTCTAGAACCCCGTAATGGATTTCTGTTTTCGTTTGACATATTATGGCTGTTTCGTTTTCGATTGCCCATATGTGTTTCAAAGGTATCACAATCTAAACAAGACTTTATGGTTTTAAAAGTGACACTATTAATGTCCAGAATTATGCGATTTTCGGGTTGTCATTGTTTAATAAAACAATGAAAAATTCCTGAAATCGTATAAGTCTGGACACTCTATAGTATATAATACATTTACTTATAACCATTGTATTGTTATTGTCTAAACAATGACATCAATGATTACTGTAAACACTATCAATATCTAATCAGTTCTATTACCTAAGAAGTAACGATCACCTAAGAAATAAAATTTATGTTAATAATTTTTCGATAAGTTTAGAACCAACTTTACGCGTTGATTAAAAGCTTAACGAAATTATTTATAAGCTGATAAAAATCTGCTTGTAAAACCAACCAAAAAATCATTCGTTAAACCTCTCTTGATAAATAATCGTATACATAACTTTTATCTCAAATGTATCTCCGAGCGTGTTGTAATCTTGAAACAATTTTCGAGAACGCAAGTGATGATGAAATCTCATCTACTCTTCAAAGTCAATCTGAAATTGACCTTATTGCTACAGTTGATTCCACTAATTCATTCGATAAAAATCGCAGTGCAATTTCGTCAATTAAACAACACCAGAGAAATATCACGCCCAGACGATCAAATTCACATCTCGAAACGACTCGCAAAACTAGAGTGATGGAAGGTAGACGTAATGCTATTATTAATCCCAACCTATCACTCCCAATATTTCAAAAAGACGCAAATTATCCTGGCAAAGAGTTCATGAACCGACGGTACGCTACCGACTGCATAAGTCCCACAATTGCTTCAACGCATTCCAATACTTCAAAAAATTCAGTTATAAATTCTCTTCATAATTTTAGTTCACCTACTTTATCCGATCTTTATTATGAAAACGATGTTAAAAAACTACAAAGCTGTCCTTCACTTATTTCTTTCAAAGTGCATATTCATTGGATCTATCCTTCTTCTCCCTTAGTAATTAAATTATTTAGAAATATTTCATTACGAAAATTTAGAAAAATTGTGGCAAAAAGTTGTGGAATCAAGGTACCAAAAGATAGTGTTATTATTTGGCATAGGAATTTAAATTGTGATGGAATAAGTGTTGGAGAAGAAAGTAATGATAAAGTAGTTTTAAAACACTTGTTAAAATCCGGAAAAGTCAGTGGTATTAAAACTGATGCTAGGTGGAAATGTTTAAAATCTTTTTGGTGTAATGATGTGGAAGTTTCTGTTGTTAAAAAAGAATTATTGGAATAATGATGTTTTTTAATCGTAAAATATTTGCGAATTGTTTTTTTTTTTTTAAAAAAAAAAATATATATTCCGTATACTGTATACATATATACATATATATATATTGTTGTTTGATATCAAAATAAAAATTATGTTTAAAATGTCGCGAAATAACTAATTTGCTCACTGTTTATTTTTTGCTATTATGTACATTACTAACTATGCGTTTATTTCTCATCTCCTTCACACTCGCATTGCCTTTACGGCTTTTGCTTTACCGATCACGATTACTATTTCTATTTGTAAATATTATATTTTTAAGATCTTTTTTTTGGATCCTTATTTCAATGTGATCGATCGCGTGATCATATAATGTTATTTTATGCATATTGATATAGATTCCTAGAAACAATTATCAGTTTATAATAAATTAGCATAATGAGACACGGGCTCTATTTATTAATTATATTTCTTAAATTATTGATCCACTTGAGTTGAGTGTAACCGCTTTATGCTTTAATTGGACTGAGATCAATAAACTAGTCAAAAACCTTCACTTGATTTTTTTTTTTAATATAC